GAGCCCAATGAGTACAAGGCTTGATGGGACCTGCTGCTGGTATGGATGTGCTTAGTGAGATAAAATCCTTGCTCTTGCCGAGAATTGAAAGCAAGTGTTTCAGTTCGTACAAAACTATTTAATTTTAATTCTTATTCCTTTTTATTATATAGAATCTCCCCTGAACAATACCACTGAAAACATGCGAATTTGAATTTTTGTTCATGGTTTCGTATGTACGTTTTGAAATCCTGGAAGAGTCCAGGCAATGATATCAAAAGTATTTTGCCTCGTAGTTCGTCCTTGCCGCAAGAGATGGCAGCCCGCTTCTGAACGCGATACCTGTACCAGATAACGAACGGCAGAGCGCAGAAGAGCGGATCATTGGTATCGCTAACGATACAAGGAACAGGATACACTCGGGAAATAAGACAAACGTGCAAAGGGAATATCTGAAAAGAATCTGCAACGGAACAATATCGCCGGCTTCAGGAGGATGACAACAGAATTCCGTACAGTGTGCAAATACACCACAGAGATTACCTATTATTAAGCACGTCATTCTGTGAATCTATGGGAAATGTGAAGAGTCAAATGTATTACCTTTGCCTGCTCCAGCCATCTACAGCTAACCAGAAAATAAAAAAATACATGTTATATCTAGTCTTTAGAATCGAGCTATGGCCTCTTAAGATACCAACCAACATTAGGATACTCATAGTATTAAGCAGACAAACGTATCATGAAGATAATTTTCTCACAAGATGTATAGAATATTACTTCATATATTTTTAAAAATTTAAATCTAACCACTACCCAGTGTGAAAAGTAGCATGTTACGAAAAGTTGTCTCAGACTTGGACGGATTCTTTGGCAAGACAACAGGTAAGTTATTTAGAAACTGTCACTTCGATAATCGCTACAGAGGAGTCCGCAGAAAGCATTAGTTAAATAATTAACAATCTTAAATATAAATAAGGTTTAATAGAAATGAAGAAAGTCATATTTCATAATCGCTGCATCAGTGAACAGTTCTTCATATTTATCTTTACGGAGGGAAAAATTACACTTGTAAGGGACACGAGAAATGAATGCAATGTTTAAGTCCAAAAATATAAAATTACCAACTGGGAAAATTAAGCATAAATGGGAATATAATATTAACAATACAAAGGTTTAAGGAATAAGTTTCTCTAGCTAGTCAAATCTTGATGACTTTTGTTGTATGAATACATAATTATTCCTCATAGTATGACCTCCCTACACACCAAGGAACGATCTCCAACATAAGATATTTTCGATTTACAGTTTTCAGTGATAATTATTCCCAGAAGGAGTGTTCCCAGATTTTGAACTTTCAGGACAGGATTAGCGAAGAAATTCTATCCCTCCTGAGCTGTCGATTGCTATTAATAGAAAACTGCAAGAGAGGCAATATGCAAATCTGTATTATGTAAATTAAGTTTCAGGGTATAAACAATATTTTATCAGAGTATATTATCACAGGTCTTGGAGGATAGGAATTAATGCTTTGTGCGTGGAGAAATTAAAATCACTGCCATCTTAATTCTTAATAACGAAGAGTAGATTCACGGGGTTGATTTCTTGTGGCTTTAGATTTACAGCTAAGGGACGTAAAATCTTCGCAGATAAGCTTACGTTCAAGAAGATGGCATAAAGTTTAAACAAGGTAAAGAACTTCATAATTCCTTAAAATGCGGCTAATTTCTTAATCATATGATCGACTGCCAGGTTCCTAATACATTAATTAGTCAGTACATAATTGTTTTTACGCACGTGGTAGTATTTGTATGACCATTTCAAAAAGATCTTTTAAACTCCTTGACATTCGGTTGCCATTAGGGTCAGAGTTGACCAAGTTAATAATGAACCACGCAAGTCGGCAACTGGTCGGACCCGTGTCTTTTGTGTATGGTCTCAAGAACTTGGTGTGTAACAAGATATACTCTGAAAAAACGTCCCGTGACCATAAAGCTACTTGTTAGAAGCAAACGATGCGCCCTTTGTAATGAAATAATGTAATTCCGTCGTGTGGCCCACAGCTTACAACGAAGGGACAACATTGTCCCGTTACGAGATCGACGAGGTCATTCACTGGGGCTGACCAGTTTCAGGACCTAAGGCATCAGGCCGCTCAGAAAACTGGTACAACATAACCCAAAATTGCACAAGGAAGGTCTGAATTGATCCATTTAGCGTAGCAACCGCAGTGTAATGGAATATTAGGCACGGATATTAATATCAAGTTTCTTGAGGTAGGCCTAAACGTTACTGTCGAATCTAACGAGCGTATTCAACATTTATTTACACCATTTTATTATATTTTATTTTCTGACCACTTATTCCTAAATATATTTCAACATCTATTTTTCTCAAGCCATGTGGTCTGTATCTTACTGTTCTGTTTTCGACTTTTTCTGAAGCTCACACGACGTGACAACCCAGATGTCCACCACAGACACTGGAGTACCTAACACAGCGATCCACAAATATAAAGGCCCTGATGACGGAGAAATAAAATACCAATAAATTTTTGTGAGACTAAACTGCCTAACGTCCCAGAAGACACGTTGCCTTCAGAACCTGAAATATAACTATATATATAACTAAATATGGCTGTCTTCTGGGTTGTAGCGCCGTGTAGTCTGGTAGATATTTACCAACGTTTCAGATGTCCTCAACAGGCCTCATCGCTCAGGTGATGGAGGCAGCAGGGACCTCTTGCAAAACTATACTACAGTCCAACCTTAGCACTCACCGCCGTGAAAACCTCAAATCCTACTATTCATTGAATGTGTTAATATGACTGAAATTTTCAGAGACTTCTTTAATACGATTCCTTTGTTTCTACGCATCGTTTATTTATTTTTTGTGTATTTGATATCACCACTAAGAAACCGTAGCTTGTAAATTACAGTAAGTTCGTAAATTATTCTACTTGTCGTCTGCGGTTCGAGTGAATGGTTTATATATTTTTCCCGCATTTATTAAGTTACTTTTTAAAAAAAAATTATATACAAGCGTCCAGTTAGGAATACATAGGCCTACCTCTAAGAAATTTGTGTGCGTGTCATATTACTAACGCAGACAATGATGGTTTTGCCAAGACAAAATTGAAATGAAAGAATTTGACAAAAGTCTTGCCAGGATATTTATAACAATGAAATGTTCATAAATACATTGCCGAATAGGGTAACTTATAACAAATTTAAGGTTCTCACTGCAGTTAAAATGTCGATTGTGATATTCTGGGTTGTGATATCCTGCTGGGGCGATACATTCCTCCAAAATAACAGTACCCACTTATAGACCACAAAATATCACAGTCCAGGGGGCCACGATCCACACAGTCTTTCTTTTCTCTTCTGATATTCTGCGGATATTACATTCAAAGTACATTCAGTTAAATACAAGTAGTTAATCAAATCTAAAAGTTCGTGACGATGGTGAATTATATGAATAAAAATTTCCTTAGATAATTTCCATCGTCTAGTAAAATAATAAAATAGAAAACGATGTTTCAGAGATGGGGTTCTATCTCCGTCTTCAAGTATCTACTCTGTTGGGCCCAATAGATAGAGCTAATCCCTATCTCCGGTCCTGAGATAGAACTCCATCTCCGAAACGTCGTTTTCTAATTTAATATTTTACTAGACGATGGTAAATATCCAAGGAAATTTTTATTCAAAAAAGTAGTTAATGCTGTGTTTCGTACATGTTTAGTCGGGGTTCTAATTGTAAAAATGATTTATAATTAAATTCTCGGCAAAACGTATACTGTGAAATAGGTGATGGTTATACTAATAAAATAAGAAAACCTGTCATCTTCACCGCCGTGAGAATCTCAAATTCCATAAGGCCTTTATTATTTGATTGTGGCATTGCGGGATGTAAAGTCGTGCAGTGTTGTATGAACACGATACCATTTTTTCAGGAAAAAATTGTCTCCATTTTCGGGTCTTAAGTCTTTAACCCTGAAGATGAGGGTCAACATCAACATCTTCAATACAATGAAAACCTCGAGACGCATAAAAATTCATAGGCCTACTTACGTGCTCTGGCGACTCGTATTTCTCCGTCTTCAGAATAATATCATTGTTAATGTCGTCTCACGCCAACATCACAGAAGAATTTCCTGAAAATAATTAATATAATAATGTAACAATTAAAATTTTAAATTAACGGTTAATTTTCAGGAATTTTAACACCATAATTTATTTAATAAATCAAGGTTTGCCACTGTCGACAATGATTATAACACTAGGAAAATAAAATTTGAAATATCGACAAAGTATTAATAAGAACCGTACAAACAATTCTACAGGTCTTGTAATTATTAGGACAACCCTCGATGAGAAAGTAAGAATTACTTAGTAACAGAGTAGCCCACCGGTGTACAGAAAGACAATTTAATTCGTATCTTTAATTAGATTATAACCGAAAACTTTCGCTGTGGCTCAGAGTGACTGTGAATACCGAAGATCCTATAACATTAAAACACTAATAAAAATAATAATACTGTTTAATGTGATGTTATAGGCCTAATATAATTTTAACACTGTCAAATTCAGGAATAAAACTATCGATATAATAAAATGGTAGGAAATGTCTTGTATCCTCTAAGACTACATTTGCTCAAAAATTGTTACCCAAATTTCGACATGTATTTTAAAAAGTCTCTAACAAATCCACGCCTGATTGATTTTGGAACTACTACCACTTAAGAGCATCTGCATTTATAAAGCATAAATTTCGCAGCGGAATTCAGATGCCTTGTGTTGTGACTTAAGTCTCAAATTATTTACCCGATGTAATTGTGTTAATTAAGTAACAAGACGCCTTGGTAACCTAGAGAGTGCGTTTATACTAAAAAAATAGTCGCATTCTAACCAAAAAACTAAAAGAAACTCTACTTCATATCTCTACGTTCTGTAAATTTTAATTCACTATATTTATTCTTATCGCCATGCGAGCAAAACTGTTCCTTCCAACACCATCATTGAACTAAAACTGCAAGTCGCTTCTCCCTGAGTTTATCTCCGACCTCTTAATCTTTTACGATAATAAATTTTATAAAGAAAATGTAAAATTTCGTGTGGTATAACCTTAGTACCCATCCAGTTTCGGTACATTTAAATTATTTGTTTCCAGCAGTGCGAATATCTGAAACGCCAAAAATGTAGAAATGTTAAATATAATACAAAAAATTAAGTACCGGTCCCTTTGGGATATTTTTTTTCAAAAAACAGAGTAATTTATCTACTGACGACTCTAGTTGACACTAATGCTTTGTCTTTCATTGCAAAAGATTTTAGCAGGGGCAGGACCGCTTATGTTACTCGTTTCAACAGAAGAACTTTGAAGAAAAATAACGCAAACATAAATCATCGTTAAAAATCAGTTTCCCTAAGATTCTAGCCTATCGTGTTAAGTAACTCATTAAAAGAATCAGCTCTACTATAATACAGACACCAGAATGTGACATGTCTGATGTCGCCCAAATGAAAGTTCATCTTCAGTCGATGTTCGTCCGTCGGCCAACTTATAATTCTGCGGTGGAAATCCATAAGCTGTTACATGCATTTTTGACAGTATTTGAATAAGTGTTGAAATGAAGTTCTAGTGGTGTCCTCTGCCAGGAAAAAACATGACATGTGCAAATGAAAACATTATAAAGCCATACTATCATTGAAAAGTGTAACTTTGTTTCCGGAAAACGTAATTTTATATTAGTTGCATAACTTTTAAAATGATTTACTGCTAAAATTGTATTTTTACATATATCAATTATGGCTTTCAACCACAGAATTCTAAAATAATTTAGAAGTTCCTGATGCACTTTCAATCTTTACTGTAGGCCTGCTTCAGAAGCAATTTTATTCGATTAAGCAAAAAAACGCGTTGCTCGATTATCGCTGGACATTGAAAATTCAGACTACTGTACAGTCATACTCCTGTATGAACTCTGCACATTCCACGGAGTAAGCTGGGAGTACAGAGATTTGACATCTCACTATAAATTCGAAATTTATAACGGCCCTAGATAATGATCCATTATAAAACATGATATTGTACACGAAATAAAAATTAGGCGCCCAAAACATTATAATAATTATTCAAAATTAAGACTACCGCACTGTTAGATACATAAAACCTAAGAAAAATACAAAAAAAAATTAAATTCAAACTCAGCAACTGAAAAGTATTTTCCCTTGTATTAAAACTTCCAACATCCCAGTGATTAAATCGCTAAACTTCCATTATTTAACAAATTAATTTTACAAATGCTAAAAGTTATAACAGTAGCAATAATTACTCAGTTTTCAATTATATTTGACAGATAAAACGTCAAGTTCATCGGTCTGTCAGCACTTCCAAACTATCGGTGCAAACGCGAATTGGGCTAATTAAAATCTTAAAAAGATAGAGAAAATATTTTTCCTAACCTACCATTCATAATGAGTAATGCAAGTTATCTTTCCTTCACTGCTGTATTTATACTACGATAACTTATCACAATTTAGTCAGTTAATTTTCTATAGCCATACGGTAAATAGGAAATAACATATGATGATACGTGATACAAAGAACAGATACTTCAAATGAAGTTATTGAAGCAAACACCACGTTCTTATCATAAATATTATGCTGATATATTCTCATTGTTTTAGAGAGTACTAAACAAAAACCACTTCTTGTTTGCACACTCTCATTGCTGTCCAGGTTACTTCGCAGTTGGTAAATTCTTGTAAGAATTCGTGGAACACCTAAAACCTTTTAAAGACACATTGCACTAATACGATATTTGTATCTGTTTCTAAATTCCCCACATGCACAGGGCTAATAATTCACAGAACCTTTGTAACTGGGAATTTGAACGGTGTGGCAACCGAGAAGACCTCCCGTGTGAATGTTTACGAGGCCTAACTAGGATCTCGGGTTTCCACGGCGGATATAAAGAAAGTGTCTCTCCTCTGGTTTGTAGCGCCATGTAGTCTGGAAGAGTTTATCAGAGTTTCAGAGGTCCTTACCGCCTCCATCGTTAGGACGATCAGTGCGATGACCTCATCGCCCTGACCGCTGAGATGTTGGTAAACACCGAACAGACTACCGCGCTACTATACGGTGCTATGATCCAGAAGACATTCATCTTCGTTTACAAGGCCTAACGAAATTTTTTTACATTTTTACATTACATTTAGATTCAAAGTTCTTAGTTCCTGCGCGGACAGACAAGTCGAACACATTTTGACATCAGAAAAATTAGTCTGATACTTGTTAATTTAATAAATGTAAGATTAGGAAACTCAAGCCAGACAGTGTCTCGTTCACCAAGGCATGTCGCGTCCTCTTGTCAAGGATGAAGAGGACGCGTTTCAGATATGAACGGTAGCAGCGAATAGGCTCAGTAAGCAGTCACGGACATCTGATAAGGGGTGGTCCTTCAGAAAAATTAACAGCATGTTACGTGACTCAGAAATGGATAAAATCCAAGTCTTCAAAATGTAATTTCTGCAAACATTTACGAACAAACGTACTGCGTACTGAAAGTATAATATTTGTAAAAATATCAACATCTTTATACCAATAAATTAGTGAGAATCATTTAATATTTTTATATAAATTAGTAAATATATTATAAATAATTAGACTGCCAAAAGAAATGTTTGATATTCCTACATTTAAATATTTAACGACAATGTTTTTCCTACAACATGCTACACGTATTTATTACTGAAATAATTGCAGGGAATTTGAAAAAAAAATATTTTATGTTTGTAATTTTAATGAAGAGGATTATCAGTTGGCTTCCGATTAAGCTACATAATAAAATAAACTTCTAAGAAACGGTTATAAATATTAATGTGATAATTTTTTTGAAATCTGTTTGGCCACAACAAAAACCACTGATAATTTCACCCACGAAAATCTAATCATAAAAACAGGGCTACGTAATTTGTCTAAAATATCACCACATAAACCAAGTGTGTGTTTTAGATGTATAACGCAGGTTGCAAGGAAGGATAAGAAATTATGTTTACTTGCATATGAAGTTTTTACATGATTAATGCAAATAAAGAAACACGAAAATAAATGCAAACTGCTAACAGTAGGGAAAAATAATAAGACTATTATTTAAATTAAAGAAAGTTGACCATGCGAAAATGATGAAGAACATTTTATATACAAGTATACAATAAGAGAAACAATAAAAATACGTAGGAATATGTAGCAAGAAGAATTCAGGATCTTCTGAACCATGGAATGGGTTAAAATCAACGTATTTTAGAGAAGTATGAAGAAAAACTCAAGAATCTGATAACGAACTTCGAAATGAATAATATCATTCCATTTTATACAGGCAGTAAATATTTAAGATGGGCATTAATTGTTGTATAGGAGCCCTTGCATTTTTAACAGTAGGGATGGAGTAGTTTCCTTGAAATCTTAATTTTAATTACCACCCTATCTCCATGAAACTGAATGTATAACAATGAAGACTATACACCTGTCGAGGTTTGACAATAATATATAATTAAAAAACTAATGTTCAAGAATAATAATATATCTAATTTATTTAGAAAAATAAAGCGTTTCGCGAACAGTAAATCTTCCTATATATTTTTACGGCGAAATGGACTCCTTTCCTTTGCATATTTTTTCTTAATTTGGTTCACTAACTAACTAACTAACTAACTAGATGGCCTACCGAACCCGAAGGTTCATCACCGAATTAACCAAAGCCTTCCACTCTTTTGTAACTTAATTTGGTACATTCAAATAAAATTCTGTAAGTAAAAATATACAACATTAACACAATTTCTTATGCAACGTGTGCACAAATACGTTAAACATAAAATAGTAACGTTACCATTGAAACTGAAGACCACGGATTTATGACGCGCAAGAACGCGGCTCCCTGCGCGTTCTCGGTGCTGGCACTTCGCGGAGGATCTGCAGTCAATTTCGAGTCCACCGATTTACACCGATGAACTTCTCTATTTCTGTATGGCACCGAATATCTTAAGCCGCCCTTTACATGGTGGAAGAGAAGACGTTTCTAACTACCCTGTGGACAATAAGACAGGTCTGAGTTAGTCGTTGTAAAATGTTTTATTTATATTGTGAAATCATACAAAAATTCAAATGAAGTTAGTTACACGAAACGTCGTCAAAATTAGTATCACTTGTAACATCAGTTAGTATAGTGGCGAAATTAATCGATTGTCCAGTCCCAAAGTAGGATGTTTTGGATGTACGTTATAGTTGTCCGATAGGTACTATTTATTAAAAACAAACAAATTAAAAGGATAAAATATACCATATGAGAATTGTAAATGATAAACTAAGTTAATCTTCTAATAAGTTCCGCTGCGAAATATTGTAATTTTTTTAAGGATATTTCGTTATCACCAAATAATATTTAATTAATAGTATTTTGTATTTTAGAATACTTATCAAGATATCATACTCTATCTACCATATGTGGATATAAGCAACTATCATTTTAAAATCACTGGCCACTAAATTTACTCAAAATTTGTGGTATTTATATTTATCACATGCTTAAAAAAATTTCATCTACTGCAATGCAATGATAAAGTTTAGACATTGGTTTAAAGCAACAAAGAATAAAGAAAAATGGATGACAATATCCTCACATTCTTAAGCTCAGCACTAATTGTATTAGAATGCTAACGGCACGATAATTATTCTTAGCAAGATACAAATCGAAAGGAAAATGAGACAAGGGGAAAAATAACATTAAATCACGTAATAAGTTTTGTGTTGAAAAGATGCAATGCCAGAACCACTAACGCCTGATCAGAGGTACGTAAATTATAATTCATCAAATTGTGATTCAGAGTACCAAAGTAAAACTTTTTCCACGAAACATAAGACGAGACATTATTGAACAAAAGAACCAAATTCTCAAAACGAAATTAAAACAGGAAAATAACTGCTTGTGAGGGTACCAATGTAGCATAAATTATCATGAGTTGTTTAACGAACGCTTTATTCATTCAAAGACATCTTCCTGATCTCTACGCATAAGCATGTTATGGTGCAAATCGGCGTACACGTTCAAGCGCTACAAGCCAAGGAACATTTATAAAGTTTCAATGTGCCCATTCATATATGAACTTACTATTGCACTTACGTAAATGCATGGGAAAATAGACACTAGGAGTAGAAGATAATATATGTGAAGTTGAGTTATCTGGTCAACTTGAATTATTTATAGGCTGTGGATACAGAGTTTAATTATATATTTTAATTATCAGAATATTAATTTGCTAGATACCTGGAAACTTGTTTTAGTGTAATGAGGTAAACATTCCTTATTCATAACCTATAAATATCATATTTCACTTTTATGTCAGCTTGTGTACTATAAAGGCAACAGAAATTTTTTCCAATTTCATCTATGCAATTATGATCCATCCAAGCCACTCTATATAATTAGCATTTCACTGAAACCAGTCCTGTAGACCTCCATACCGTATCTTCAGAAAAGTATCACACAGGAAAAATTTAAAATAATCGTAAAATTGTATATATGAATAAATATATTTATTTATATGTCCCCAAAACAAATAGGGTTCTTATGTGACTTTATGTTCACAATAATCCTGAATATGTTTAAATCAAGAGCAGCTATGTTTATGTTACAACTATCTTCACGAAGAATTAAATACATTTAACTGTTCTAGAGAAGGTTTCTTTTGTAACAGAAACTGAATTGCTATTTATAAATTTCCATAAAACATTCTTCAACCACATCAATGTCAAAATTACTGTAATTTGTATATGTTGGTCTTCTGGGTTGTAACGCTATGTAAACTCGTAGACAGATACCAATGTTTCGGAAAAACATACTGCCTCCATCTCAGACCTGAAGATAAAGACAGTATATTCCTCTGGCAGATTGAAATATGCTTTCACGTCCACGCGATGCTGCAACCAGAAAACTAACATCGAGATCTTCACCACCATGAGACCCCCAGTTCTCACAATGTCTATATATACGATATATTCCCATTTTTTTTATAAAGACATGTTTTGATAACATCAACTCTGAATAAAGCAGTAAATATGGCAAATTAAGAAGGATTTAATTACCTAATCCTAAAATTCCAGATACGAAGTTCCTTAAAATATTGAACTCAAAAATTCGTCACAATGATACCGATTTAAGATTTCAATAGACCTACATACTTAAATCTATGTGTAGACGGGATTAAAACATGGTTATCTGTACCTTCCTAATAAGCATCTCTTTGTTTTACAAAAGTTTTCCAATTTGACAAAATTAGTAGGTAAATTGAATTACTATATACATGCATTCTCTCTTCCAAATTAAACTGCAGGAATACAATTTAAATTAATAAGAAGTACTCTTCGTTTCGGAAACTTTTTTCTATTGAAACTCTTTGCCTTTATTATTCCTACAGAGAGGCAAAAGTTGTCTTCCTCGAGTTCTACTTTGTTCCAATTAAACTTCGCTCTTCATCGAGATAACGCCATCGTCGAAGTGACCCCCCCATCATTAAAGCTCCCGGCTATTAAAATATATTCACCCATGCTAAAATGTTACATTCAGATCAAGAACATTTTTTCAAGTACTTTTCTATGTTCTAGATTTTTAAAATCATGTTGTTACTCCGTTTAATTTAATCAGGAAAATATTTTCTGTCAGTGTATGTCTTCAAAATATATTATAAACTACTATAAGGGGTTTCAAGAACGAAGGATAAAAGCAATTTAGGGAACAGACAAGTTGCTTCGAGATTTAATTACCTATGCACGTTGCAACTTAAGTAACAAGCCGCGAGCGCTGATTAGGTACGTTTTGGTACATCCGTATCCTACAACACAGCATAAACTTTTGCATTTTTCTTCAAATAAAACACCAATTTAAGAGTTCGTGCTTTCAGTTTAAATGAATTTAAACACAATTTCACGTAATACCAATAAAGTTAATTATATTAGAAAAAATTCTTGCATTATTCACGGAAGTGAGCATTTTCTTCAGTGTTTCATGTGAAATAAAAAGATTTATGAATTTCTTTCTTCGTGAAGAATATTCTTGTTTTAATTAGTTATAAACCTATGTTGTCTACTGTATATTTTTATCACTGTTTGTCTCTTACAGGCATTTTGATTTTGATAAGTTCGCTAATAAAATTATTTAAATATAACAAATATTTTTATTTATTGGTATCATTATGACACACTGTGACATTATAGTCATCCATAAGAGCCTAATCTCTTTTATCTGGCGTATTATTATTATTATTATTATTACTACAATTAATGTTAATATATTATTATATTTCAGAAGTTATTCGTGACATTCATTAAAATAAAGCAAAACATGGAATTACTTTAAACAATAAAATATAGACCCTATATTTAATATTATTCGAATCAATTCTTGTATCTATAATATAGGTGTTTTATAATATCTACTCTCAAAAAAGGACCATGCGATTATGTAAAAGAATAAACTTAATAAAGTGGCAATAATTTCATCATAACAAGCAGAAAATTTCAAATGTGTGTAATGTTATGTAACGGAATTATCTTACTCAAACATCAATAATTCCATTCACTGCAAAATGACAAAGCATTGGAAAACCGCTAAATTAAGCACAGGTCTGAATGAATGAATGAATGAATGAATAAAAAAGGCAAGTTTCATTCACAATTCTACATTTTGTTTTCCGATATTGACGTACAGCCATGTTGTGTTTGTATTTATGTTACGGACGGAAGATGAAAACAACAGCACGTGTCCTGGCCACGTGGAATACTGTTCAAACATGTTTGCTGCGGTGTCATCCGAATCGAACGAACACGCGAATCGGGTCCAGCAAGTGCCAATCAATTCCAGCATCAGCCTTTCGCTTACCGCGTTTGTGCACTGCTGTGTACGTACACAGTGGGCGGAGCGTAATCGTGTCAACACAATATTAATATTATTACGGTTCAAGTATTAAGCATTACCTAGGTCAAGATTAATTGAGCCAAATCAATTCACTGCTGGAAGTCGCGTTTTGGAGTTCACATTTACATCAATAACTTGTATTAAATATTTTTTTTAACATTACAGTTTTACGTCATATATCATACTCATTCACTTCCCTACATCCTAAAATGTAGTCCCACAGATAAATATTTTAAAATAATATTAGGCCTGCATATGATAAAAGGCCGTGATAATTTAATATCTTTGGCTCATTTACCGACGCTATCTGACCACAAAATATATAGCTTCGAAGTATTAATGGACAACTGAAAAGAATACGGAAGGAGGCGATAATGGCATAATTTAAGGTTCTATTGCGGAAATTTAATACGAAAGGAGGCGATAATGACATAATTTAAGGTTCTATTGCGGAAATTTACTGAAGAAAACCATGAGATATCTCTGACAAGATAGTTGGCCTCCATACTAAGATTTAAATCCCGTACCTCCAAAATATAAAGTAGATGTGGTAACCATTCGATCGCGATGGTCAGTGAAAGGCCCCTGAAACCGTGGCTTAACGCCTTCTTAGGTTTTAGGCTCGGCACACGGCCCGTGCTTATGAACTGCAGCTGTGAGTTTGCTGCAGCCACAGACAGGCGACAAGGAGTTCCCTTCCAGCTTGAGGAGAGTTGGCCGGGGTTGAAGGATCAGCATATTTGGTACTCAAGGCCTCAGGCATGTACGTTAAACTTGGAAAGACCAAGTACCGTAAAATGGGTTGAGTTGCAATTGGTTCTAAAGAACTTTGCTCCGTGGAGTGACTTGGTTGTGCCGAAGGTAAGCGAATTTAATTAAAAGCCGTTTTGAAGAGTATTTAGGTATAGTGAATTTTGCTGGACAAAAAGAAACATTCTCTAAGTGATTTCAAGTTATACACAACATAATTTTTAGGATTGTTTAAAGATTGCTGAAGACTGTAATTTACTTTATACGCAGTAAGGTACCCCAGCGAAAGGTTTTTTTAAAAAAAATATTTTTTAGGTTTAAATTTAAATAAATTCTGTATTCAGTGTAAATGTATTTTGTTATAAATT